GCCCGGGCTTATGAGCGTGGTGCGGGCCCCTCCGGGCAGCATACCCTGGGGCAGCAAGTGTCTGTTGGCCAGAGTCTCTCTGGTGTGGATGATGGTGCTCCCGTCGTCCACCACGGAGGGAACCCTCCCCAGGGTCTCCACTGCGCCCAGAGCATGGCCCAGGGCCGAGGCGCTCTTGGTCAGACCGACCTTCTCCCCAATGTGTCCCAGGGGCCCGTCGCCCTTCACCGCGGCCAGCGTCGAGGTCAGGATGACGGTCTTGGAAGCGGTCTGCAGGACGGGTCCCACCTTCGAGTGCACCAGGCTGCTGGGAGGGCTGGGGGCACTGGCCAGGGGGGAGGTAGCGAAGGTGACGGCACCAGTGGGAGAGCTGGCAGAAGACGAGGAAGAGGAGGAGGAAGGCTGGATGCCCGGCAGCTTGAGGGGGACAGAGGTAGCCTCACCCATCACAGACTTGGTAAGTGCAGACAGCTTGGCGTCCGACATGACGTACAGCGTCTTCATGGGACTGGTGGTGGTCACTGCGCAGAAGGGGAGAGAGCGGTCAGCGGCTGCGGGGGACGTGGGTGCCCGCCCTGGGCTGCAGCCCCCAGCGGCATCGCAGGGTTTCAGGCTGAACGCGGAAATTGCCTCATTCGTTCTCCAGAACGAGACCCCAAAACAAACCCCAGCGCTTCCACGGCCACGGGCAGAGCCTGACCTCTCCCCAGAAAAGTCCCCTCGCGTGGGGAGGAGACGTCAGGGCTGTGCCTTGGCCGAGCACGTTCCGGCTTGCCCCGTCCTGCCCTCCGAGCTGCCGCGGACCATGCCGAGCTCAGGCTGCTCTCGGTGACCAGGCTCCGTCCGGACAAGCTCTCGCTCAGCTCAGGCACCTCCAGCCCCATCCCACCAGCAGCAAAGGTGGGCAAGATATCGCTGGGGGTGCTCGGATGCCTGTCACGCTCCATCCCAGGAGGTGGATAAAAGATTTCAGGCTTTGTGAAATGAAGCCCTTCACCCTCCTCCTCATGCTCTAGGCAGCAGGGGAGGTTATTACCCCTTCCAAGTCCCTTCCCCAGCAGAAACGCAGCCCTCAGCCACGTCTAAGGTCAATGCGAGACCGGAGAGCAAACATGAGCACTGCCACCAGTGGAGCAGAGGGACACGAC